GCGATGTTACCGTCTTCTCGGGTTTGCTTTCATTGGTGATCAGGGCTCCCACCCTAACCGCCACAACCCCCTAGCTCCCTTTTTAACGCGACTGCGTGAAAAGTGAGGAGAACAAATGGCTATGCAGTTAAGGTACATTTTACAATAAATGTCGTAATAGTTTGAAATAGCACATTGGAGCTAGGCTGTAATGCAAAATAAATTTAAGATAAAGTTACTAGATTGTAGATTATCTTTTGTCTAGATAAAAATCTTGTCCTATTAGAAAAGCAACGAAGTAATTTAATATGCCATGTGAATTGAATTTGCGCACAAAATAGTTTCACGACTTTTGCTGTTTGTAGAAAAATGTCTATAAAATAATTTAGTATAAAAATAATTTAGTAGAAATATTATCGGCATGTTTAGATTTTATGAAAATTAAATTAGATTTGAATTTTTGGTAATTCTAAAAAAAAAAAATAGACTCAGATTAATATGTTATATCGTCAACATATACAGGGTGTCCCAAAAGGTTAGGTACATAGGAAGTGGGATGATAGGAGTGATCACAAGGGTCACCAGAAAAATAAAATAAAAATTCCCCTTTGGGTATTAAAAAAAATAAATGGCATTTTTTAAAAATTTAAAGATTTTACACCTTCTGGGGCAATTTTTTTTAAATCTTTGTTAGTTGTATTTGTTTTTTTTGATTTCATATTGATAAAGGGTTATTGACGATAACATAATAGCTTTTTTTTAATGTAGCAATATTTGTAGGTCATTGGTTACAAAATTGCCCCAGAAGGTGTAAAATTTTTAAGTTTTTACAAAATGCCATTTATTTTTTTAATACCTAGAGGGGAATTTTTATTTAATTTTTCTGGTGACCCTTGTGACCACCCCTATCATCCCCCTTCCTAAGTACGTAACCTTTTAGGATACCCTGTATAAATATTAATTTGACTAAAGTATATTTAATATACTTTTTCACTGACAAGTAAAATATTTTTATAACTACCTTCATATGTGCAATATAAAAGCACACATATTTATATACTTTTTAAGTTATACAGCGTGTCTCAAAATTCAAAGATACTGGTGTATAGCCAGAATAATAACTACAAAAGTCTCATTTTTAACTGAAATTAACCCTTGTGTTCATTTTGTATAGTATACCATACATACAACTTTATGAACATATACGATCACTGTAACATAATTTTTAACTTTGTTTTTTTGCTTTTCTTCAAAAAAGAAATCTTGAATAAGGGTTAATAGTACTCACGTATATTCGTCCGGTGCCGCCACCAACGACGAATATAAGTGAGTGTTTAACCGTTTTTATATAAGTTTATTATAATGTCTCACGAAATTTTGAATTAATAGCTATGTTACTTATGTCGCTAATACAAAAAAAATATCTTGATATTTGTAGCCACAGTGTCTAATCATGTCCATCAATAGTAGGATGTCAAATTAAGAGGAAAGTTACAAAAGTTAATGTAACTTTTAAACAAAGAGTTTTTTTAGTATTTTTCTCGGTGTAGTTATCGCCTTGATTATATACTTGATCCGTTTATTGTTGAATTTTGGAACACGCTGTATATTGTTGCCATTATTATAATGTTTGTTTAAGGATATTTTTTATAAAACAACGTTTAACTCGTTGTGTTAATCTAGTCAAAAGTTATTAACGATGATATATAGTTATTTTTGTTTATGTTAATATAATATTTTCGATTGCGTCTAATTAAATTTAATATGTAATTAAAACAATTAATGTCTACTTCAAATACAAAAAAAAACAGTTCAAATTAGGTTGTGAGGCGAGATCATATTTCTTTAGATATATTAAAGTTTTTTTTTAATCATTTGACTTAAAGATATAATTTATTTTAAAAGTAAAACTTCAATGTACAGCGGGGTTAGATAAAGTGCTTTCGCTATGCAGCGATTCCATAAAGAACTTCAAAAATGTATGGAACTGATAATAAATTTGCATAAGTCACGTGATTGTCGCGTGTCCATACGCTGTGTGAACCCCCCCTTTTATAATTAACATATTGCCATCTCTTACAGTCTCTTTGGATAAAAAAGAGAGAACTGTATTATTAAAATCAAGTATCATTGGAAATACAGCATATCTTAATGGTTGCGGATGTTAGATTTCGATTTTGAAATACTATTTGGCCCATTTTTTTTTAAATTATTATATAATTATATAAAAAAACTTGGGCAATAACTATATTGATGTAGTAATTGTTTATATTCAAAAGTACATATACGTGCGTAAGTCGTTTAATTTTTTTTTTGTATTTTCTCCGCACTTTTCAAAATTGTCTTGTCTCAATACATTTAAGATATTTATTAACTAACTAATGTAATATAAAAAAACAAAAATAAATAACATCTTAAAACTGATTTTGAGAAAAATCTTTTTTTTAATGTTGCTTCAAATTCATATTAAAATTAATTTTTGTCATTTACGTAAAAAACTAAGTATGAAAAAACCTATTTGAATTTTTTCGCTTCTTTTTAGACGCAATGCAATTTTGTGTTCTTAGTTAATAAATTTAAAATTTTTATTTTACTTATAAATGAAGTTTTACATATCTATTAAAGTAACTGACTGAAAATATAATTATTAAAATTATATACAAGCGGCTCAAATATAAAATATTTACTGATAATAAAATAAATCAATTGACATTGTTTCTTAATATTAGCATGGGGTTTTAATAAACTGCATTCGCTACGAAGCGATTCCATAACAAATTTCAAACGTATAGAACTGACAATTACTTTCGATAAGTCACGTGATTATCGTCAGTTTTAAAGTTCGCTATGGAATCCCTTCGAAGCGAATGCACTTTGTCCAAAACCCCACTGTAACGCTTTTCTCTTTGATTGTACACTAATATTAGTTTAATAGTAGTTGTAGAAAAATTATACGAATTTTAGCAACAATAATCAGTTCCGTAATAGTATTTTGAATGTTATGTATTGAGTTATGTATACGTTAAATATATAATCAAACAAGGATATTTGACCCAAAGAAATTATGTAAAAACACGCATATAAAATGACTTAACAGATATGACATGATAGTAATACTTACTAGAATGACTTGGGTCAATTTTTTGACATTGATACTAGTGAGCTGTCATAATTTAGTTTGACTTAAATCCAACATAGTTCCACAAGGATTTTATAGCAGTTGGATAATGAACTAGCAATGTCATGTTGACAGCGTCATATTATGACCAATCAGGGAGCGGCAGTTAATGTTGCCATTTTCATAATTTCAATATTCTATAAATATATCACGCGTGATGTTAAGTACTTTAATTTGCCAATATGTTTGTATGTAAATCTCTGTCCCGGAGGCCTAATTTAGTCTTCTTTCCCTTCCCACCCTTTTTCTTATAAGGAATGGATGGGAAGTGGAAGTGGACTTTCTGGATGAGAGGATGAATGGAAAGGGAAAATATTTTTTCTGTGCATCCTTTCCTCCGTCGATTAAAGGTAGGCAACGCGTATGCAATTGCGTGTGTCTATGGGCAACGTTCACTTCGCTATTTCAGTGATTTCAGGTGACCGCTCGCTCGTTGGCCACCTTATGATATAAAAAAACCCACAAAACTTGTAGGCGCCCTAAATATGTCAAAAAACTGTAATAAAATCCTTGTGGTACTATATCCTTGGCGTTTAATAATTATGATTGTCGTTGACCGTTATATATAAGGAAATGTTGCTAGATTAAAAAAAAATGGTTACCTCTAAAAAGGTAGAAATTGTGATTGAGTCCGTTCGGATCTATTGATGTAAATAAGATGTTTATCTGTGGCGATTAAGTATATAGCATTATTTTTGTCCGAATCGAATACAAATAAAGCGTTATATTGTAATTTAAGTTGTTTTTTTTATAAAACCTTTATATAAAAATTACAAGCACCTAGGAGACAAAGAGCTGGACTTGCGGGAGGTACAAGCGATGGATTGGTACCAGAACGCGTAAGACAGGCGACTTTGGCGATATCTTGTGTCGAAAGCCAAGGCACACTTTGGGTCACTGCGCCAGCGGAGTAAGAAGACAAAAGAAAAATCCTGGTTAAAAGGATAGGAACAGTAAAAGGACTAGAATTTGTATATTTCTGTCTTACCCTAGAACTTTACTGCACAGGAAAATTATACAAGTATCACGGTTATTCAGTAAATAAACGTCTTTTTTGCCGCACAGTGTAAACGTAACTAATGAACAATAAAATGTTTTGGTCAGTTTAAAAAGCGAATAGTATTTCCGTTTTGTGAAAGAAATAAATTCGCTACTTAAGACACTCAACTTTCTATGAATTGTCATAAAAATTGTATTTGGCCGAAATGTTTGGGGACTAAACGTCCTCGACTATGGTTTGAATTTAGCATGAAATGTTGATTCGTATTTTGCATTATTATGTACGGTGGCAATTGAATAAGAAACATGTTCACGCGTTAGCAAATATCCTGTGTTCTTACTTAAATTTAATCACTTCAATTACACAGTGTAATTACTGAGCGGAAATCCTCCTGGTTATGATTCAAGTTCTTACCAGAGATAAGAACTTGGTGTATATTATGATTATCATTTAAATCTGTATGTTTTAGTGAACAAAGCAAATGCCGAATGCGTTTAATGGACGTCCTTCATAATTGTAGGCCTGTGTTTTGCTTATATAACATGGATCAATATTTTACACCAAGTACAGTTTAAAATATTTTGGCGGCTCAAGGTCATCGGCGAGCTGTGCAGTGCCGTGCCTGCATCCCGCTACACCTAAAATTGTCTTCTACGTACAGACTACTCCTAAGCTATTTTTTACATTGCTATTATATCTTTTTTCATTTATGTGATATTAGCATCTTAATATTATAATGCGTAGGTCTAGATGAATGGCTGGATGAATGTTCGTTATTGCGTATGTCCAGATCGCCTAGAACAAATTTTAGTAATTCACAATTTGAAAGTAAATAAAAATTATTTCTTTTTTCTGTTCCTATCCTGTTTGAGAATCGTTTTTTATAGGGAAGATTCTCATTTTAAACAAAAATTACGTCTCAGAAAATGCTACTACAATTATTATCTAAATTTCACATGCACAATTAGTGCCGAGTTACTAAACACGGTGCTGTAGCGAACGGAAGAAAACTGTTTCCGAGATGATTGCGCGCGGAACTTGAGATGACGAGACGTCAACAAAACATAGAAAATGGCAGTGGATGCGCGACGGAGAATGGGATTAATCATTTGCAACATTACCTAACTAGCGCCGGTAGCATCAGAGAGGGGTACGAAAGGCCGGGAACCACTTTCAGTTTCTGCAGATAGCTTGCTCCGCGAACACGACTTGCGTAACCCACGCGTCTGTTGCCCGGTTTGACAGCTCGCCATCGCCAGCGCGCCAACTTGCATTCGCATGACATACTTTTTAAAATTCATTTCTTTTAATTAACATTGTTCTTAATCCTGATTTATTTTGTAAAATTCATTTTATTACAAATCATCTAAAGTTACTTCATTTATTAATATTAAAATTAAAAAAAGGAAATCGAAAAGTGCAGTAACTCAATTGTTTTTCCCGCCATTTCGTTCGAAAACAAATAATTATTTAATTTCAATTAAAAGTTATAGTTAATTTACTTTAAATTATGTGCAGAACTCAGTGTTTTGTTTATAAATTTAAATGCGATGTGTGTGTTTAGTGCGGAAATATTTTTGGAGGCACCATCTGTCGAAAAGTAAGTTTTGTTTATCAGTATAAATTATTGTTTTTTTTTATTTTTCTAATTCATTACAAGAAAACCATAAAGTTTAAGCAAAAAAAATGTATGCATTGCGTTGTAACGTGCAATTAAATTAAGTAAAGATGTAAGTAGCTATAAAATATAGAAAGACTTGTTAACCTTCTCATTAAATATTATTTGCTTAATCTGTATAATACTATTAACTATTTTTGGACACACGTGTCACTGTAATTGGAGTTTCCAATTTGCTGGTTATATTTATTAATTTTAGCTGTTCAATACTTTTAGGCAATTTCTTAAGCACCTAATTAACATGTTTGTTAATTTCTGTTTCATAATTAACTACGTTAAGTTAAACGGTTTCATAATTATTAAAAGGTTTGGTACTTTTAATTACTTGATATCATTTTATAGTATCTGTGGTAATCGTTGGCGCCAATCTATTTCAATGCTATGTCATTTCTTTTCCAAACCATTAACTATTTTCAAGTAAACATAAAAATTTTGTACTTTATAGGAGAAATATAACTAGATTTACTGTCTTTATTTATGTTTTTGAATAAAAGAAATTCGTTTAATCTTGTTTCTTTGCTAAATTTGAAACAAGGATCTTTCGGGGATCTAAATTGCTTTGAAATCTTTGTCCAACGGCTGATATCTCAGCTAATATTTTATTTTAAATCGATACAAAAACAACTAAATTACGTTACAATCTCGATGAATCGGCTTAAAAGCTTTATGTTCCTCTAATTGTATGTAATTATTTAATAATGTATCATCAAGTTATAAATTACATTAATAAATCAATGTAGGATTATCAACAGGCGGTAGTGAATTCTGGGTGGTCGGTAAATCCATTTAAATTGCTACTGTATATTTTTTAATCCTCTTTCGAGGTTTTATATGAATATAGACTAACGAGTAAATAACATCGAAGCTATTATAGCAAGCTTTGAATCGGAGTATACGAAATTATTGGTAGTCATATTACTTGTGTTTTTTTTTTAAATAATTCATCTCGTTAACTTCAACCTTTACTGAAATAATGGAATATGAATAGAGAAAGCACATTATGAAATTTAAATTTTATTTTACTTTGTGTAATAATTTTATATTTTTAATAGTTAAAATTAACATAAATCGTAAACTTTATGTTGATAAGCTTTTGTAAAAAAATTGTATGTAGTTTTAACCGTTGCTAATTTGGTGTAGAGTTTATATTATTTAATCGTTGAAAGAAATAAATGTCTTCTATCAAATATATTTATTCGCGGTAAAACTCTTCCCACGGCTATTTCTAGGAACTGCTTTGTAGAAGTCAATCTTGTAATGATATCTAAAGGGACAAAGACATAGACAAAGATAAATGGAATATAAATTAGCAATTTTTAGCCTTTGTGTAACTTTTTAATGTATTTTTTGTAACCTATTTATATTTAGGATTACATAGACATGTTTTTAAATTACGTTTGTCCTTTATTTTTATCACATAATCCCCATTTAAAGACGTATCTTAAGTCTCGAACATCGTCTCGTGTGCTGAATACCTAAAAGATTATATACTTATTGCATTGTACGAACGGATTTTAGAAATGGCTCATTGTAAATGGCTTAAGTTAGCCTCTAGCTTAAACCGATGACACCAGAGGTTCTCAAACTTTTTTTTTTGTAGACAGTTCTTTCCAGGGCCGGATTTAGTTGGTGGAAATCAATTTCAAAGATAGGGTTTCATAGGGGGCAATGCAGATGTTCCTTTATATCCGATTGTGGCGCTAGCAGCCCTTCATGTCCGGCGCCCTGGGCGGTCGACCCACATCGCCCTACCGTAATGTCGCTAATGCCTCCTGTCGAATTTCTACTTCAAATTGTGAGCAGTTGTTTCCCGTCATTGTTTACACCTGGGTATTCAGTTAATTCTAGGGACTTAATTTGTACGACTCTAAGAATCACAGGTCTAAATTCTGTCTTACTTTAACTTATTTCTGGCTGACGAAATCGCACAAAGAGGTAACTCGAAGGTCGTCATATAAAAATGTTGATTTTATTACGCTGATTGCGCTAACAGATCGTTAATTTCAATTATTAATTAGTCAATAAATTTATTAAATAAACCAGGTATAATACGACTATCACGTTAATCTGGCGTGATGTTTAATTAACTCAAAATTAGCCGAATTACGTAGAACACACATGCAAAACATTTCGTGCTTCCATTGTACAAAGACATGTTTCTGTCTCTGTTCTTGTAATGAAAATGATAAGGATGACAATGTATTAAAAATATATGTTATATAATTCCCACGGTAATACATAATATTGATATTTAATATGAACTGTAACTGTTGATATTTGGTGTCAAAACATGAAATCGAAACGTGATAGGATCAAATATGGAATAGGATTTTGATTCTATGTTTATACGAAGCAACGTAGATATTTCTCAATATGAATTTGAAACTATATTTACGTTTCTTTTGTCGGTTTTAGATCACGACATATGATAGCTTAAACATAAGTGTAACAGTGGTAGAGCCCGCTTTAACATGTTCGCACGAATCGGCCCGGCTCGCCCGGTGAAATACCACGACCACACAGAAGACAGGCGTGAAGTGGAAGCAATTCCGCGTTT